AACTTTAAAAAAAAAGATTTCTCACTACCGCTTCATCTTCAAACAAGACCAAATTGCAAATATTCAGAAATGAAAATATTTATGGATTAGAAAATGAAGGAATGAGATGCTAGACTTCATTTTTCCCCAAATAGAATGCTTATCAATTTTTATTTCTTAGCTCCTAAGAGAAGTTAACAATTGCACGTGTACCTTATTGTGTGTGTGCACTAAAATAGAAGAACTTGAAGATGAATTTTAATAGTACAGTTTTAATTTTCCCTCCGTCCTATGAGATGTGTTGCCTTTGGTTTGGTTGTCTTGGCATTTTATCTCTCATATTTGTTGAGTGAGTTGATGAGCCTGTCACACAACCGAACAGTAGATGGCATTGCTGTTTATCTCAATTTCTGGAAAATGAAAATGGTCAGACCCATCTTAATGCTTTTACAGAACAGTGAGCTTTTCAGAGAAGTAGTAATCATTCTAATTGCAAGAATGTTTTGATGGAAATGTGTTTACATTTCAGAATGTAGTTTGCTGTTTTCCCCCAAATTACAAAAAACACATTTTTGATGGTCTTGTGTGTGCCTGCCTGGAGAATACAGATAGGCGGGCATAGGCAAATTTGTCTTTCTTTTTGCAGCCCTGCAAGCAACATAGTTATGGAACATAAGAGTAACCTGGCTTCAGGCATGCGTGTTCCCAAGTCTCTGCCGTATGTTCTGCCGTGGAAAAACAGTAAGTGAAATAAAGGCAAAATGCTTTTATTCTTTTCATTGTGCTAAATACAGTTGGTCTTGACTAGCCAAAAACGTGTTCAGTGTGAACACATACACTCGCATGACCCTGAGAGTGAGTGCCTCCTTGAATTTTGCATTCTGAGCACTTCACTTTCTTCACCCTAGCCCTGGCCCTGGTTAATAACAGGAAAGTACAGGATCGCAGAAACCAAAAGAATGTGCTCAAGTTGGGGTGACCACTGACATCAAATACCATGGGCAAATTTGGGGACCAATAAAAAAGCTATTAATTTTGCCTAGGAGGAAGTCATCCCTGACATTCAAGGCATAATATCAATAGGAAACTGGGATTCGAAATGGATTGCAGAGACCTAAAAGGAAATGAAAGAGAGAAAATGAAAGTAATAAGTCAGAAGAACTGGCATTAAGAATAGTATTCCGATGTCTTCCCTAGGCATCAGAGGCCGTTCTGGGTAAATAGGTACTGAATTCATATCATATCACCCCGATAAATTCCCACACCCAAGATACTGTCATTTTTATTTAATACGTACTTTCCTAATGTTGCTCCCAAATGCACATTCCCTTGATTTCAGTCTCTGCTGCTGTTTGAGCTAATTTTGTAGGTGGCTGAAAGATTCCCTTTAAAACATTTCCCTTTGGATACTTCCATTTCCAAAAAAAAAGGAGATCACCAAATCATATGCCTGAAGGCTTGATAGGTAATGAATGAACTATTCTTTTCCCATGCGTTTGAGTAGAACCCAGTCACTAATTTTGAATTCTTCTACTTTTATACTGTAATTCAGTCTACCCCAGGAATAAGTCATTTGTGTTTAGTAAGAATAGGGAATGGAGTGAGTTTCAATTGTCATGGTGTATTTATTTTGAAATATTTCTACTCCATAGATGGAAATGCACAGTAACTGAATATCTATCTCATCAAGTAAGTGTTTCAGTTTTATTTCACTATCTCTTCAGATGGTAGCAAGATTTAACTGGACATAAAGCAATTTGGGTCCAATTTTCTTTCAGATTATGGTACCAAATTAAAGCTTTGTGTGTGCCTCTGTTTTTTAAGTATATAGCTTCTATTATGGCTTTACACGCTAATGAATAGGCATTTACTGGTTAAATTAGAATTCTGTTAACATGCCAAGTTGCTTTCCCTAACGTTAATACACATTGCCTTTTTCCTTTTTCTTTTCTTCTTTTTTTTATCAAAGTTGCATTCTAGATCTATCATGCCTTTTTAATGGGCTTGAGATTAATCAGACAGCTGTGCTTCACTGCTCTGCAATTTTTCCCTGTGCTGTACAGTTTAACACTCATCAAAAAATTCACTCCTTTTAATGAGCACTTAAAAGTTTGGGGTCTCTAAGAGTCTTGCACTGTCGATCTTATCTGAATACCTGATTTAGTAGAATCTCACAAAATCTATATGAAGGGAGCAAAATCTTTTTACAGAGGAAGCCTTTCCTTGAGGTAACCCTGTACACCTATGGCAGAGCCAAATTTGATGCTTCAAATGCTATTTTGGTTGAGGTTGCCTGGCTGTCTTGCTCCTGGCAAAAGGAATATTATTAGTCTAGGGAGGAGATGATATCCCCACTGTCATGCAGATAGTAGGCTCTCTGTGAATATTTACTTAATGAGTAATTGGCCTGATGCCTTCCAGTTCATTCGCTTCCTCGGGACAGTGAAGCAGGTGGATCTCCTGTGAGTTAGGGTTCATGTTGTACCAAAACTGATATTTCTTCTAGTGAGAAGCAGAAAAGAGATTCTAAAAGCAAACACCCTTTAGCCACGGACAATAATATTTACAAGTTGCTTCTAGGTACTATCCATTTTTCTTGGTAGGTTCTGATGTCACATGGTTAAATACATCTGGAAACCAGAAAATTCTCTTCTGGCCCCAGAAGAGAAAGTGCTACAGCAGCACTGGGGTGTGTCAGGAAAGCACACACTGACCTGGATGAATGGCGAACTTTGAAGCCTTCTCTGACATGCCTCCCAAGATGCTTGGTGGTCATCTCCACTGGATAGCTACCTAATAAAAATGGTCTAGGGGCGACTGGCTGACTCAGAAGAGCATGCAACTCTTGATCTTGGAGTTGCGAGTTCGAGCCCCACATTGGGTGTAGAGATTACCAAAAAAAAAAAAAAGTTACTCTAAGATGAAAGCCTAGGAAAAGCTCCTGTCTCTAACGCTGAATACTAGATGTTCCTCTCCTTTGGAACTTAACTCTTTGCTGTTAAACCCCTTACATGCTGAAAATGTATTTTTCTATATAACCTCTGAGGAACCAAGGGAAAAAAATTATCCTAGTTTAGGTAAGAATCCTTAAACAGCCACAGACCTTTTTATTCTCTTAATAAAAAATAAAGCATCATATTTTGAATGCCTGTTGTAGAATGCTGTAGCTTCTTTGGAAAGATAAAAAAAGAGATAGAAGATAGGACTTTCTCCCTTAAGGAACTTAAGTATGGGTGGAGATTTTTTTGAATACATATACATAAAAAGGGTCGGTTCACCTTGCATTTACTATGCTTTTATCTCATTGTGTTTTTATCAACAAATCTTTTTACTAGGTAAGTGTCTCGAAGCAGGTGATATCATATTAATTTTTGTTCCCCTAATGTGCATTGTAAACAGCTCAAAAAATATTACTGAACTAATGAGTAGATAGAGTATGTGAGAAGAGAAAAAGATCAATATGTTAGTTGAAATTAATCCAGAATTGTCTCTAGGAGTCAATTGTATGGATAGTCAATTCTGATTTTCTTCTCACTCATGAAACTGTTGACACAAGGAGTGTACATCGATCTCTGTGTAGAATGTTTTTAATTCAATTAACAAGTTTCTGTGTGCTTAGTGGAACTGAAAAGTTAAGGGTCAGAAGGTACTTGGTGTTCTGCCATTAACAATAGCAGATTCTTCCAGCTGACCAAGAGATTTTAATCAGGTTGTGTGGCCTGTTGTCAGATATAGTTGGTGTTTTTATCACTGACAGGAACTAAGATCTCTTCTTTTTCTCTCATTTCCTTGCAGATGCCAGACCCTAGAAGACTCTTGCTTCTTCCTGCTACCAATGGGTTCTTCTTTTTTTTTTTCTCCTAATCTAATTATAGAAAGATAAACTGTGACTTTCAAACTGACAAGTACCTTTTTCTTTTTTCCTCCCTGCTTTGAGTCTCATTCATTTGATGCAGGACAGAACTCTCAAACTCAGAAGAACTGCTTCAAATAAAGCATCAACATAGATAGCTTGATAGTTTCATTAAGTACCTGCAGCCCCAAGATCAGAAATCACATCCTGTTCCACATTAATGAAACATAATTATTTAAAGTTATCTTAAAGGGGGCGCCTGGGTGGCGCAGTCGGTTAAGCGTCCGACTTCAGCCAGGTCACGATCTCGCAGTCCGTGAGTTCGAGCCCCGCGTCAGGCTCTGGGCTGATGGCTCAGAGCCTGGAGCCTGTTTCCGATTCTGTGTCTCTCTCTCTCTCGGCCCCTCCCCCGTTCATGCTCTGTCTCTCTCTGTCCCAAAAAATAAATAAACGTTGAAAAAAAAAAAAATTTAAAAAAAAAAAAAAAATAAAGTTATCTTAAAGGATCCAGCTAAAGCAGGCAAGAAACTTGGGTTGGAAAAAAATAATAACTGTATTTATGTTCTCTGACACACATCGGCCAGCTTCTTTTTAGAATTTATAGGAATGGGCCTTTTTTGATCAGTGCATCTTTTTATACAGAGTCCTCAAGATGTCGATAGCATTTATATAGCAATATACCCCATTCTTGGTTAAAATCTTAGAACATCTTGCTCTCTGAATATTTCCAACCTAGGGTAGGTTTCTTTTCATCTCTCCCACATTCCAGCTGGAAATTGTACTCGGTGTCAAACCAGGTGTAGATTATGTAGGAGTGAAGATTGGAATGGAGAGGAACAATGTATGTGTGGGGAAGAGATAGGCTTTCCACCTGTGTGTGAAATTTGATTAAGCTTCAAAGCTTAAATTTGTGATGGCCCTGCCGACTACCCTGGGATTTGTGTAGAGTAAGTTCAATTTCTGAAACACCCAAAGCTCAGGCTGTCCTAGCATCTGGTTAGCCCTCAAGAGGAAACCTCATGATTTCCCCAGACCAGTTTTTTTGTTTGTTTATTTGGATTATCGGTGCGTTTTTGGTTTTTTGTTTTTGTTGATTGGTTGGCTTTTTCAGGTTTAGTTTGGTTTGAAGTCTGCATGGAGAGGGATATAGGATGTGGTATAGATAAGGATTTGGATGAAGCATACTTACAAATAATTTCAAAAATGATCTGTCTAGCATTGTTTGTGGGTAACAGATAAGGGAGAGTGGGCTTTTATGGAATGCCTCCTTTCATGAGTTTTCCATTGGATTCTCTCCTAATAAAGCAGAGCAGTTTATTTAGTTGCCGTCTCTAAAAACAGGTTCAAGATAAGCCCCAGTACAAGGTATTTCTGCTTCTAGCTGTGTGATCTTAAGTGAATAACTAAACCTTTTCCTCTGGAGATGGTGATAATGTATGGACGGGGGACAAAACACCCATTATGCCACTAAATCTGGTTATTTGTATATCAACCAATACCTCACAACCTAACGTTTTAAAAGTACTCGTCTTACTGGAAAATTACAAATCCCTGTTGATTTCATTTGTTTGGGTGATAACAACAAAACTGTCTATTCTGTAGTTGTAATCCAGAACACCTAACCAATTTAGGAAGAACAAGCAGGGGTGTGAGTCTCATTGCAAAGAATTAACTGCTTGAATACAACTCAACAAAAGAATCAGAAATCACAAAGTCACAAAACATCTGACCTTTTCGAGTGTGAGTACCACTCACTGTAGGAGAATGCCTACCTGTGTTAATTTCATTAGCTCACAAAATAAACAAGCCTGCTGTTTCTTTAGTAAACTAATGATTAAAGCAGCCAATTTGTCTGGTCCAGGAGCTTTCAGGGACTACTTGGGATGTTTATTGGGCCTAGAATTCACTAGTCTGGATTTAGTTTACTAGAGATTTTTGGAAATTCCCAAAAACTAGAATAAAGAAGTGACTAAGTCTATACATCTGTCAGAATTGGGAAGGAGAAACTTCTCTGTGAGATCCTCTTTTTCAGAGGATGACTTCCCTTTGGAATGTGGACAGGTAAGCAGCTGAATATTCTGCCTTAATTTCAGTTAAAGTCAAGTGTTACAGGTTAAATGCAGAGG